CCCACGCGCGCATGCACGCACAGGTCCACCGCACCCCCCCCGCAGCGCAAAGGGCGGCGTGGGCGGGTGTGCGCTTTCCTTCTCCCCCTCCCCTCAATCCGTTTGCACGCGTGGAGTCGCAGTAAGTGATCACGCAGCAATACAAAAAGTACATGGGGGTATAGCTCAGTGGTAGAGCATTTGACTGCAGATCAAGAGGTCCCCGGTTCAAATCCGGGTGCCCCCTGAGATCGGATTTTCAGCTTTTTTTCCTGTTATTTCCACCCCCCCCCGCGTGATTTCACCTTATGATTTCAAATAATACAGCGTTGTGATGAATTACGGCGGGGTTTTTTAAGCGGGAATTGATGCACAAAGGCAAGGTGCTGACCCCCACGAGCGAGAGGGAGCACTCTCCTCTCCAGCGCTGGTTTTGACCAAATCCGATTCCCAAGAGGGTTTAAATTTGTCAATTTTATTTAAATATATCAGTGGGAGCAGAAGCGGCTCTGCCAGGCCGGCCCCGGCCCCGTGGGGTGACCCACAGCCCCGCTGCGAGCAGGGTTTTCCTGCGTGTTTTCCTTCCGTGACGTCAGGTGGGCAGCGTCGATTTGGGTTCTTACTTGACAAAAGCCTCATTAATTCGATTTCTATCAGGAGATAATGACACCTTAATTCCCCCCAATGTTCTCCCTTCCCAGAGCTTGATATAAAAGCACGAGCCTCGGCAATCGCTGTTTGCAGGCAGGCTTTAATAACGCACACCCACACCCAGCGAGGCTGCGCTCGGCTCTCTTCCCCCTTATTCGTTTCAGGATACGGCTTAAAATTGGCTTCCTTCGTTTTAAAAGCAGCTTATCTGCTCCTCTCACAAAGGTGCCCACTCCTTCCCCTTCTGATCACCTCATCCAACGCTTCCCAGCCCCTCGAACCAGCCTCCCACCCTTTCCTGGCCCATCGTGGCTTAAAATAAGCCGAGCTTTTCTGCTGATCCAGCTCTTTGGGATGCTGCGCGTGGCTTTTCCTCTCTTGGCTCGGGAGATGCTGCCGGCGGAGGGAGGCTCTCCGTCACCCAGACGTTCTGGGTGCGCAGCACCAGTGCTGCTTCCCGAGGGCATCACTCCACTGAGGCCCGGTGCCAGCTGCAGCTTTTCTTCATCTTTTTTCTTTCCCTGAGCTGCATTGTGCCTAGTGCCTGTGGCATCCGGCCCCTCAGCGGGGTGGATGCTGTGGCGTGGCCTGCGCTTTCCTCCTGCTGACTCTGCAGGGCTGACGGATGGCCGGTGACATCCTGGGACCCCGCTCGACGCGATGTGCGGGGTGCCACTGCGTTGCAGTATGTTTACATTCTTAGGCCTGAGAGTGCTTTGGTGCCTGTCTCTCATTAGCTGCAAACCACGTGTTTACCGTTAGCAGTCGATTTTATAGCCGTGAAATAACAGGATCCTTCTCTGCTTTCTGAAGTTATTGTCTTAAATATGTATTTCCCGTTATTTGCTCTCAAGCTGACGAGATGCTTTCGTTGCTCTACGCAGAGCGCCCAGAGGGCTCAGCAGATGCAGTATTCCAAGCAGCACTGCTCGTGCTTTCTTTCCTCCTGAAATCAGATTCAGGCAACCCTTGGGTAAATAAGAAATCACTTATTGCCACAAGGCAAAAAACTCTTTCATTTGTGGTTAAATTGCAGTGGAATTTGCAGAATCGCAGGGCTGAAAAGTTCCTGCAGAGGCAAACCCCAGAGTGGGGTGATTCCTTCTGATCGTAGAATCATGGAATCGTTAAGGTTGGAAAAGACCGCTAAGGTCACCAAGGCCAACATCACCCCAACCCCACCGTGCCTGCTAAACCACATCCGAAAGTGCCACATCCACACGCGGTTTTGAACCCCTCCAGGGATGGGGATACCCCCACGTCCCTGGGCAACCTGGTCCAACGCCTGACCGCTCTCGCAGTAAGAAAATTTTTCCCAACCTCCAATGTAAACCTTCCCTGACGCAGCTGGAGGCCATCGCCTCTTGTTCGGTCTCTTGTTACTTGGGAGAAGAGAGC